TGACGAGAGAGTTGTTCATAAAGCATGCTTTGCAGTTCTTTGTGTGCTTGTCTGTACATATTGAACTACCGCACAGGTTCAGTCGGATGAAACACTTTTCTTCGCCCAGATCGTCAGGAAGGCCCATTCGAAGATAACACCGCAGCAGTGCTCATGGGAGTTTGAGCATCACGAGTAGTTGTTTCTGTTTCATTCCTTACTTGTTGCACTGCATACCACGAAATACGACACATCGTCTGTCCGTGAGTCTAGCCAACCGACGAGTCGTGGCAGTGCCCTCCAATCCGGGCACATCATTGGTTAGGGATTTCGGTCGAGCCTTTGATACGATCGAGCTGTGGAGCGAGGGGAGATATATAGCACATGTGAAACAGGAAAAACCGCGAAACGTCAACAACCGGAAAAAATTTTCCCCAACGCTGCAAATTTCCTGTCACATAGCAAATACGACCCCCCCCCTGCCAACAACGAGCAAAGACGACCCCCCTCTTTTAGCTCCATGAATCAAGAAAAACCAACTATCAAAATAAAATTTTTCCAGACCAAATACATCCTCCTCCTTGTTGGGGAATCCTCAGCCATTATGTGACCTGTCTTGAATGCGAACCCAAAACGCACGATGATGTTGTTGCAATCGTTACAAGTTACTTGTGCATCATCTCGGCCAAGCAATCAGCACTCAAAATCAAATTTACCCCAAAAATAACGCTAATTCTGAGTTCAGCGACATTTCTCCAAAGATGGCAGTTGACAAATTCGATAGCTTGTTCTTACTAGGGAAGGTCGTCAGGTCGAAGTGGCCATTTGTGATGAGATGTAGATCACTAGACGTGGTTTTGGACGCTGATCTTGAATCTGCCTTCAAAATTTGCAAAGCGATTCTCTGAACGGAGTTATGGAGCCGCGTTTACCACGCAACAGGTCATGATCGGATCCCTGCTGAGCTTAACTTTTTTGCTTGTTGCGCAAACGTGGCAAAAAGTGATTTTGCCGTCACTACTACTTCAGTTCTCACCTGAGCTTGTCTGAAGAAAAGTTTGCCTCCATTTATTAGTGCGCTTGGACTCCTTGTAGAAGCACTGTAGTGCACTGTAGTCTACAAGGAGTCCAAGCGCAGTAATAAATGGAGGCAAACTTTTCTTCAGACAAGCTCAGGTGAGAACTGAAGTAGTAGTGACGGCAAAATCACTTTTTGCCACGTTTGCGCAACAAGCAAAAAAGTTAAGCTCAGCAGGGATCCGATCCCATGACCTGTTGCGTGGTAAACGCGGCTCCATAACTCCGTTCAGAGAACGCGATGCAGCGTCCAAAACCTCGTCTAGTGATCTACATCTCATCACAAATGGCCACTTCGACCTGACGACCTTCCCTAGTTAGTAAAAGAGTACTGAACGGTAGAACGACGCAAAGCATTTCTACCATTAAAAATTATTCCAACTATGGTGAAGGTTGGTGGCTACAGTTCACGAATTTCGTTCGAAATATGGTTGGGATATTGGTTCAGCTTCGTCAACTGGAAGAGAGGGTAACTGAAATGCACTCGAAATCCAAGAATATGCCGTCCCATTGAAGCTAATGGTGTTGTCGGAAGCTCTGAAACGTCGATTCGGCTTTGTGTACAGAATTTGGGAACTTCGAGAAGTGGTCATTCGCCGTGTCAGGAGGTCATTAACCAGGTCCCTACATGACCTTATCAAATAGTTTGACTCTCGCAGTAGAAAAGCCCAAAAAAAGTAGCGCACCTCATTTCAGAAAAAAATAGGGCTCTCCACTGATTTCAAATCTTGCGTTAACTTTTAGGACACCCCCCAGAACCGCGCACAGTGAGACTGATGCCTGCCTTCGCTACAAAAATTACGAAAGCAATGTTTTTGTTTCCGTAGAAGAATACAGCGAGCCGAGCGTTTGAGCAGTATCACCCGCTGGCACTGCTCATGTTTAGGTTTGTACGGACCACAACCACACGACCTCAAAATCAAACTCAAGAATACTAGGCATACTGTTCCGGCCACACACTCTGCTCAGTCCCTGCCTTTGATTGCTCCTGCCAAACTAGATGGCTCCTTTCACACGAAAGACTAACCTGATCGTTCTTGTGTAGACTAGAAACAAGCTTTTTGACAGTGGTGATGATCTTCAAGCTGGCGAGATGATCGTGCTCAGCACCAAATCTGGCTAGGCGGATCACTGATCTCAACTTCGCTTTCTGATCGGCTTCGTGTTCATGTAAAGACAGATGGCGCAAGATCTGCTCCAAAATCTGAAAACTGGTAATTAGCATGAAAAGCAAGTTATCTCCTCCTTGTCACGGCGGCAGTTTTTTTGTTGTAACAAACTGGAAGGGCAACAAACGATCGGTTCCTTGAAGTCACCATTTTAAGGTTACAGTTGGTCCACTACGAAGCGACGGAAGAACATCTCAGGGATGCAGTGTCCAGGCTAAGCAATTACTTGGTAGTTTGGACACTAGGCGCTGTATTAGCGTGACTCCCAAAACTCTAGCAAAAGAAACGAGAAAGTGATCCGTTTTGCTTTTGATCCCAACGAACCACTTTTATCCGCTAACCTTCTCAGCTGAATATTTTACGGCAGTGGACTTGAACTCACGTACGCATCCTTCTCTTTGCAGCGAATTGCAGCGTCTACCATGCAGCTGGCCACCAAAGCCATCGTTGCCTGGAGCCCGTGCTCCTCGCATCGCTCGATCGTCTTTTTGAAGATTGAGTGGGCAACCTCGTTGTTACCCCTCAAATTCAAGTTTCATAGTGTTGATTATGGTTCCATAATTAATATAATAATGTACCTAGATAACTCTGCCCTCCCGATAAGTAGCATCATGTGGGTTTTGGAGGTGTGGTCGTAGAAAAACCGCGACAAGGTCAGAGCTCTCCTGGCAAGTTCCGAGCAGCGGGGCCACTTTTCGAATCCAGCGGCCAGTCTGAATGCAAATAGAAAATTTATCGGAACTCATAGCTGCTTTCATAGTACTCACATGGCTAGTTTCATGTATGCCCGCTTTATCTGCGTCACTGCTCGTAGTTGTTGTGCCAAGGTGAGAAGTGCTGCGGTTAGAGAGCTTTTCGGACCTCCACGTATCTTTCCATTCCCAGAAGACAGTCACCGAGTTTTTCCAGTAGGAAGAGCTCACGACGGACATTGTTGCCTTCTTGAGCCTGGAATGGAGGGTTGAGTGAAAATATGGTCGGAAAAGATAAAAAGACAGAGGCTCTACAGAAAGTAGAGCTAGTAGGTGAAAGTAGTCCCATTATCAATCTTGTCTGTTTTTGCCTCTCGCGCTAAAACAAAGGATTGTATTCCCTGTGTGTGGACTATCGGTCCGGTTTCCACCTCTAATGTATGCATGTATCGTACTTATTCAGTATCGTATCTAGGGTAGCAGGGGTTTGACTGTAAACACATTGATATCTCTGAGAGATGTGGAGGCGTGGCTGCTTTCTTCAACTAAATGTGGCGTAGCCATGCTTCTGGGAATAAATTTCCATTCTGGCACAACTGTTTCGTGTCTTTGTCCGAACATGAGGACAAGAAGAGACAGTGGTTTGCATAATGTAAATATTTACCACTGAGTAAGTCACTTTCCAATGCCTACGTTGAAAAGCCCCGTCTACCCCGTCTCCGGGATAAGGAGTGCAGATACTCGGTTTTATTAAATATGGAAATCACCGTTTTACTGACAGTTTGTCATCCTAGCCCAGATCTGAGGGCAGCCGGAAGGCGTGCTGCAAGAGTGGCGGCAATGCAGTTGAAAGAAAGACAGGAAGGAATTGATAGACAGAAGAAGAGGAGAATTAATTCACACCCCACGCCTTTAAGCGCGCCGCTGCCGGTTATGAGCGATAAACTTTTAGCCTACTCCCACCCAGCAAGGTCTGCTGATTTGGTGCTAGCGCAGATGGGGCGTTACTCATAGGATATTTTAGCCATAGACTATCCAGGTTTCACAACCTACACGTTGATTTGTTCTCCCTCAACCAAAAGTATTTCCCCAAAGCAATGGTTGGAAAACTCGCAGGACCGGCTGCTTTTTCGAATTTAGAGAGACTTAACTTTCAAAACGCTTTTTTTTCTAGGCCTCATTGGTGGGACCCCACGCAGCCCAGCGATTTTAGGCACAACGTGGTAGGGTCAAATCGATAGAGTGTGGCTGAAAAGAATCTAGAGGACCTCAGTGACCTCAGTGAGACTCTGCTCGAGTGCCTGAATCTCATCCTTTCCACTTGTCTCGGCTATCTCACACATTGCCAGATCCTCGAAAATGAGCGATCGCGATGTCACACCTGAAAGCATGTCGGATAAGTAGTTGGACTGAAGGGGCATATAGGAACTTACTGATATCGACTTTGAGGAGTTCCCTTTGTGAGGCAAGTAGTTGTTGGACTCTGGTCTCGGAATCGCTTTGGTGCAAAGTTGTGAGGTGACGAAGCATTGCAGACCTCGCTAGCACGACGACGTCGACGTTGCCGGAGCTCTCAGCCAGCTTTAGCGCTTTGCTCAGATAGTTCATCGGATCAGCACCAATTCGTTCAGCAAGAGCTGACAGTCGTAGCAGGGCGTTCACCGACTCTGGTATCGTCACTCCACGTACTTCCAAGTACTTCTGAAGTAATGCCGTTGCCGATTGCATGTCGTTTTGTTCCTCATAGATCGTGGCCATCAACTGCAGCCCAGCCCTCTCCAAACATCGATCCGAGGTTGTTCTAGCCAACCGCAGGATTCTCTTAGCAAGACGTACTGCACTTGTTGGTCGACCATTTCGGATGTGTTCCCGAGCCAGTAGAAACATGTGTGGCCAAACTGAAATATATAGATGGAAGTTTATATGGAAGAGAGTTCGAAGGGGAGGGCGTACCAGCTTCTGTTGGTTGCTCTCTGACGAGGTCTTCAGCAGGGTGTTCAGATATTCGATGGCATTTTGGATATTGCCGTCCTTGATGTGGCACGCCACGATTGAATCAGCCACCCTTACAGCATCGTCTTCGTTCACTACATGGACGCTGGAGAGTTCTTCAAGGCATTTTGTCGTTTCACCCTTGAAATTGCAAACTATAAGACTAATCATCTCTATGGGAAACACTTTGAAGTACGAGTTACCCCCGAGCGAACCCCGCCTATTCGTTGACGTATCTCGAGTGACATGAATATCTACTGTTATTTCCGTTATTCTGGAAAACAGTCCTTGCGCAACTAATTCGTACCGATCCTTCAATTTATGTACAAGCAGTCTAGCCCTCAGTTTTCAAGGCTGTGTTCATACTTACGTCCATCAGCGTCCACAGCGACCACTAGCGCTCCGAGCGTCCGGCAGTGTCAGCGACTAAGAAAGTATCGATCTAGCGTCTGCCAGCGTCTACCAGCGTCTACCAGCGTCCACCAGCGTTCACCAGCGATCGGGAATAGAGTGTATGGGGAAGTAGGAGAAAGTCAAGCAGTTGCCTTAGGCGTCGTGAAATTGCGGCCTTGCAACCGCACCGCTGCTAAAGCACAGAATTATGAAACATAGGATGCGGTATTGTGAAGCAGTAAGGTGCGGGTGCACACGTCACAATGTCACGACGCCGAATCAAGCTATTTGCTACCCTCCTACTTTCCCATACTCTCTACTCCCATTCGCTTGTGAAGGCTAGTGAACGTGCTCGCAGACGCTAGATCGATACCTATTCTTCCCTAGTCCTCGAAATGCCATTGGTCGCTGGCGGACACTGGCATAAACTGGCAGAGGCAGACGCTATATCGATATCTATACTTTCCTTATCGGTGACGCCGCTGGACGCCCGGAACGCTAGTGGTCGCTGGTGGACGCTGGTAGATGCTTTCAGAAAGTATTAAGCGCAGCATAAGACTCTCCTACTATCGCGGCTTCACAAGAAGTAACGGAGCCGCAGCGGCCCTCATAAGTGGCGGTCCTCTGCCACCTCCTTAGTTGCC